AAAAAAAAACACTGTAGCCAGTGATGATTCTTCAAATTCTATCAATATCAATGAATCACTCTCCAAGTTTTAAGTCTACCTAAATAATTGTACATCATTTTATTTTTTATGTTGTTTTTCTTAAATTATATGTTCTTTCTCCTATATTAGTAATGTTCAGGGTTGATATTTCTTTTCCCTCTATATCATTCAACTTCTTCTAATCCACAAATCAGTCCATTTTAGTTTTATATTTCACATATGGTTTGATCAATTGATTAATAACATGGTTTTCTTTAGTAATGACTTGGATTCTACAATTACCAAGTAGATAGGCCGTGAAAGCGCACAATCTCAGGGTTTTCGAAGCATACTCCTAAACTTTTGGGGGGTCCTTTTAACAGCCTCTTTTACCTCCCTGTTGCGAAGGGTGTAAATAATTGGGTTGAGAAAAGGAGTAAGAAAAGTGTACACCAAGGATAAAAACTTGTCTCTGCCCTCAGCACGCACCTCAGGTGGCCCCACATACACAATGAAAGCAGAGCCAAAGAATAGCATTACTACAGTTACATGAGAGGAACAGGTAGAGAAAGCCTTCACACGACTGGCAGCTGATGGCAGTTTTAGCACAGTTTTCAAGATGCCTCCATAGAGCCCTAAAACGATAAGAAGATTGCAGGTGTTGATCAAGCCAATCACCACAATATAGACCTGAGCATGCCAGCCTGTATCAACACAGGCCAACCGCATTAGAGGTGCCAGGTCACAGAAATAATGGGCTACTTGTTTCAAGCAGTAGGGCAGAGTGGCAGTGAGGCTGGCTGGCACAAGTGCAGATAAGAAGCCAACCAACCAAGCTGCAGCTGCTAACCATTGCTGTACCTGTCTGTTCATGATTGCATGATAGTGGAGTGGGCGGCAGATGGCAAGGTAACGGTCCAGTGCCATGACACACAACAGGAAGCACTCAGTCATGCCCAATGAATGGAATACATACAGCTGTGTGAAGCACATGGCTGATGAGATGGGTGAACGCCCATGCAGCAAGGTGTGCAGCAGTGTGGGTACAGTGGTGCTGACGTACCAGAGCTCCAGGAAGGACAGGACACTGATAAAGAAATACATGGGTGTGGTGAGCCCAGAATCTGTCTTAACCAGGACAATGATGAACAAGTTTCCTGCAAGGGTGAAGAAATAGACACACAGAGTCCCCAAGAAGGCAAGAGGTTGCAAGGTCTCAGAGGTAGTGAAGCCAGAAAGGACGAAAGTCTGAATCCAGGTGTAGTTGACATGATCCATGATTCCAGGAGCAAGTGGAAAAGAACGCAGAAAAATAACTTCAAGATTCTTTAGAAATTTCTGAAAAGTCCAAAGAAAAGAACACACAATCAGAAACAGGTGTACGATTACCAAATCAAACTCGACCACACTGCAAAAGAGGAACTGAATAGTCAGAGTCAGAAAAGATATGCTCAGTAATGCTTTCACAGAGTTGTAGAGGATTGCATATTCCTTGCTTCACAAAGACGAACTTGTTTTACTGTGTTGTACCAGAGTTTTATGCCTTGGGATTTTCTCTCACATTCCCTGACAGGAATCCTAAGTCAGGAAAATTCTATTGCTCAATCTACATTTCCAAATGAAATACTACATGACACCTTAAAATATCAACCCATACTATGTATTCTTATTAAAAAAAAAACACAAAACAGCTATACGGAACTGTTAGAATGAGACATGTACTCTCTAGAAAATGACTTCTAGTATTCCTTCAATGATTCTCTCTGGAATGCAGCAATATTCTTGTTATTGGCCGAAACAGGAAGAGACAAGGAAGAGAGAATTCCAGGTATTCTGGTACCATACGTCAAAGCTCAAACTGTAGAATTGGATGAGTAATTAATAACCAGATAGGGTACAGTTTTTATAAGGGCCCCCAAAGGAGTCATGCATCCGTAATTCTAATAGGTTTCGTTAGAGGAGAAAAAGAATGAGGTAAGGTCTATTCTTTGGTAGATCAGGAAGTACTATAGCATAACAAAGCAGTCTATTGGAACTGGCTTTGTAAATTTGTTTTGACCCTAACCTCAAAATGAACATTGCGACTCATTATTTCTATACTCTGTACCTCAACTTCCTCTTCTTTAAAATGAAAAGTTTAAGTAGGTGTTTTCAAAGCTCCTTATAAGGCTCTTTGAAAGTTGTTGAAAAACATCTGCCAGGTGAGCCTTGATGCTCTACATCAAATGACTGACATTTTTATTTGTGTACCCTAATTGAGCTCATTCAGGAAAGCTCCAGGACATGTCCTAGTTCCCTTCTCTCCCTTACCACGCCTGTCCATTACCTGACTCTGATAGCAGTGAACCTTGTTGCATCCTACATGGCATTCTTTCTTCCAAAGACAGCTTTCTAGCTATATTTTGTTTCTGGAAATGTGTGTCTGTCAGGGGCTCCTTTATACATGTTCCCTGGAGTTGTTAAGATTAGCTCTCGGTATGGGGCCCTCTGGGGCAGGAATCTGGGGAGAGGGAAATGAAACAGCTAATGTTCTTTGCAAACAATTTTGCTCAATTTTACACTTTGCTTTGGCGTTCTTGAATTTAACCCTAGGGACATTGTCTCCCCTAGATGACCCTAGGGACCACTAGAAATTTTGCAATTATCAGGGTCACCTTTTAAAGTGACAATGCAACTCATTTTTTAATCCCAGTACCATCAGGACTGAGGAAGGATCACAAGTTCCAGGCTATCTAGGCGAACTTAGTGAGACCCTGTCTCAAAATAAGAAAAATAGAAGTAGATATAGATGAAGCTCAGTGGTAAAGTGACCCTGGTTTCCAGTACAAAAAAAAAGACAATGCAATTCGCATATTCATGAGTATGCATATAGAGAATAGCACATTGGACATCCCAGAAATAGAGATCATCTTCTTAAAAATTCTCCTTGCAAGATTTCTCATCCATCACTGCTAACTTCTTTGCCCCATGAACATAATCCACAAGAGCACCATCTTCAGTTCTGTGCTGACCATTCTCATCTTTACATTCCTCCTGCCACCCTATTTTCACAGTATCCACTATCATTCATTCATTGTTCCAATTATTCCTAACCAGCCTATAGTACACAATACTATGGAACTACTTTAGAACCAGAGTGGGCAAATTTTTCTGAAATAACAAAACAGCAAATATTCTGTACTTTGCAAGACCTACTGTCTCTGTCACAAGTGTCCAGCTGTGCCCTGTAGCACAAGTGTGGCCACCGACAGTAGGTAAAGAATGGATGTGGCTGTGTTCTGATAGAACTTCGTTTGTAGAAACAGAAGGCAGATATTTTATTTTTTAATATTTTTATTTAAATTAAACATTTTAACTAGCACAATAAAAAGATAAAATTTGTGCATATTAAATAGATTAACACCTAAATTATATTGTATCTCCTCAGACCTAGACTGAAGCTCCTATGTGGTCCATAAGCCAGACCTGGATCCAGGGTTGCAGTTTAGCAGCCCCACTGCATGCAGATATTCATATTCATAAACACACATATGGTTTATTTTGAGTGAAGTTTCTCTCATACTACGGTTTTGAGAAACATCCCATTTGACGTGATTCTTAAAAAGGTTTCTCTTTGCCAGAAAGTATTCAACCATCCAAAAATCATATGTACATAAAGAGATGATACATATTCTTGTTTAATTTTCTCTTCTTTGGGCTTCAATGTACTTGTTAAATATATGCTTGTGGAACCTTGTAATGTGCTCATCTTGCAAAATAAAGTAAACTTGAAAGAAAAGTTTACCCTTCTTATTGAAAGGAACAGTTAATGCTTAATTTTTTTTTACCAATTTTGTATGCTTATATCTGGTAATCTGAACAACTACTTTGCAGACAACAATATGGCAATATAACAATCATTGTTGAATTCATGTATCATCTTGTGTTTTTGAAATTCTGTATTGTTTCTAATTTTTAAATTACTTTTACTCTCTTTAAAATAGAAAGAAAAATTTTAAGTACATTCAGTCTTTTTAGAAAGTTTTGTACTTTTCTTGATCATTGTTAATAGCAGAGGCATATAATATAACTATATAAGATACTTTAACCTGGACAGTTATGCATACTGACCATATTGAAATGATAAGGTCAGTGCTGTCTCTGCTTAGCAGTCTGTCCTACCCACAGAATTCATCTATCTTGTTTCCATGTATTCAAAGCAAAACATTTAGGAAAATCTTGCTCCTAATTTTATATGAATATAAAATGTAAAGTTTTATGTTTATCATGAGCTGTAAAATATCATTTTAGTACACCTTAGGCTACTATAAAACATGTTGAGCATGAAAGGTTAAGAATGGCTCAGAAATGTACCTGTGGTTAATCACTTCAGAGGTATTTTTAGAAAATAGTTCAGTCTTTATTTAAATGATAAATATTCAAAATAGTTTTCATTTTCTAAACAGATTTACGTCTTTGCTTTCTCCCTTCTGATCAACTTTCTAATGATCTTGAGAAAACTAAAATGCTTCTGTCATTCTTTTAAACTAACCTTACTATTGAGTTTTTTAAAAAAATAAACTATAAGCTCTTGCTCAGGAATTTAATCTCTGTGTACCTTAAAATTTTTATATGGATTTGACACCCTCACACATGGTGCATTTGGTCCTTTTTTTGAAAGGCTATTAAAAATGTTTCAGAATCAAAATAGTGTTTTGCCATACAAACCAACGTTCAGTTCATAATTTGTTCAAATGCATCCACCTTACCCCATTATCCACCGTACCCCAGTAAGAATGGCTAGCTTTAAGAAATCAACCAATAACAAATGCTGGTGAAGTTGTGGACAAATAGGAACCCTTCTCCACCGCTGGTGGGAATGCAGACTGGTGAAACCACTGTGGAAATAGTTTGGAGATTCCTCAGAAAACTAGGTCTAAGGGGCTGGGGATTTAGCTCAGCGGCAAAGCGCCTACCTGGCAAGTGCAAGGTCGTGAGTTCGGTTTCCGGTACCGGAGAAAAACCAAAAAAAATAAAAAAAGAAAACTAGGTCTAGAGGTCCCACTCAACCCAGCTATCCCTCTGCTGGGTATTTTCCCACAAGATCTAAAAACACCATATCACAGAGATATATGTGCACCTATGTTCATAGCAGCACAATTTGTAATTGCTAAATTGTGGAAGCAACCCAAATGTCCATCCACCGAGGACTGGATAAGAAAATTGTGGTACTTTTATATAATGGAATATTACTCAGCTATAAAGAAAGATAAACTCGAAGGTTTTATAGGTAAAAGGTCACAACTAGAGACCCTACTCATAAGTGAAATAAATCAGACCTGCATGTGCAAGCACCGCATTGTTTCACTAGTGTAAAATCTGAAAGAGTTAATTTAAACTCAGAGGTATGATAGACATTGTGAAATGATAGGAAAATGCTCAAGGGCAAAGGGCAACTGGGATGTGGGAAAAGAGAAAGGAAAGAAGGAGAAATTTTGTACGTATGTATATACACAGTAGTTAACGTTGTTCTACTGTCTTCTATTTCTTTGCTGAAAGAAACTGTCAATGAGTCCTTGATTGATCAATATTGCATGTCTCTATCTGTTTTCATGAGAAACCACTTTGAAGATACCAATATGTAATACAACAAGCATTGTTAATTTCCTACCACTTTGTAACTCTGTATTGTTTGTACTGTTCTTTTGCTATTTTGTGAGAGGTTGTCTGTCTCTTAATGTTGTCCTCTTTTCATTTTTAAAATTAAAAAAAAATGCTGTCACCCTCGCCACTAAGTATAACTAAAATTATTTTATGTCAGTCATTTGATAGGTGGTGGAAACCCCCATCACCACAATATACCACATTTTTTCCTTCTTGAGTATAATGAATATGTTAGATTTCAGTAAAAGATTACCAAATTTCCATTAATACCACCCTTAGAATTTTCTATCAGGCTTTATTTCATCAATAACCCTATTTAGAGAAATGAGCTGGTTTTCTGATATTTATTTCCTCATGTATGAGTGTGATCTGTCTCACCATTTATACATTTTATATAATAATATTAAACAGAAATTTATAAGAATTTCCAAAAAAGTCTTGAACATCTCCTGTTAAGTCAGATAGATAATCAGATAGATGATAGATAATAAACATAATCTCTTAATTACATTTTCTGATTGTGATTGCTTTGAAATTGTGCAGTTAACTTCCTTTATTACCTACTGATTTGCATTGCTTCATCACTGTTAATCCAATAATTTATTTGTGGTTATCTATAATTCAACAGAAATAAC